TTTAGGTGAACAGACACATTGGATTTTATGTGTCCAGATTTTGGAATATTTGTCTCACAGCTTTTCTTAAGCAACCTAATACAACACAATCATTCTTAAGTTTATTTGTTTTGCCCAAAGAACTAAATTCTATGTTGAAATAAAGAACATCTGGTACCCATAGAGTCCAGTTAAAAACAAGGTAGTGTTTTATAATACAGCGTGTGGTTAAAATAAAATAAAATAAAATAAAATCTATTTTATCCAAAGTATTAATATTTGCCTACAAATACCTACTAGACACAGTAGAATAAGGGGCAACAGTTCACGTTTTTACAGGAGCCAATAAATAATTACACTGTAACTAATTTTTAGTAATGCATAACTTCCTTAAACCTTAAAATTACTTAAAACTAAGTTATTATTTCCTGTAAAATATCTGAAGTGCTGTCCTACTTAAACTTACCTACACATAGTACTTACAGTATAATAGCTTCTTCTAATTACATCTTCTCTAAAATACATGTTAACATACAAGCTATAAACTACTTAAAATTACTTATGGGCTATTTAAAATTACTTGGGCGCAACTTAAAATGACATAAAACTGAAGGATTTCTTCTTTCCTATGAAATACCTGGAGTTAGCACTACTTAAAAGTAGTTACGCTGATACTTACAGTATAATTATTTCTTCTTGCCTAAAAAATATTAATTATTACACCCTTATCCTACTGTATCTAGCAGTAAATATTTATAGATACATAATTACATCGTAATTTCAGATAAAATACACTTAAAATCAATTTAATTCTAGGGGAATTACACTCTTTATCGTCGGGCTAAATATTTAAAGATCGCTAAGTATTTGACTTTCACACCCATCAAAATTTGCAGATTCATGGTCCAAACACGCTAAGGATCTGCTCCACAGTCAATCAAACGCACCTTTTTGGAAACTCTGACAATCTCCTCCTCCATGTCGAACAGACTGGAAGTTTTTCCGTGTAGAGATCTGTATTTTTCCTCAATCTGGGAAAACTTCTCATTCTGCTGCAGCACCAACCTGAAAGTCAGAAAACCTTCAGAGAGAAGTCCTCTGTAGTTCTGAAGAAAGCATTAATACTAATATGTGGACTTACCAGCTCAGAGCCCCGCAAGCTGCGAGCGACAACAAGCACATTACACTTCTAATGTCCAGGCCCGAGGACGTTTTGCTCGCTCCTGTCTTGTCTCCTGCTTCAGTCTTCACTTTCTGCGTTTCTTCTTTCCCGTTTGAGCCTTCTGATGGTTCGTCGCTTTGCTTCTGTGCCTGCGTCTTCCTCCTCTGCTTTAGTTCAGTAGGCATTTTAGCGCAGTAATAAACCGCTGGTTATCTTTTTATAGCCTATTTAGAGAGTTAAACGGGCTTACCAGAGTTTGTTACCTTGCACAGAAAAACAGGACTCCTGTTTTAGAGAGAAGTTCATAATGTAGCAATCAACTTCAAAAACGCAAAAAAAATAACGGACTGAGTGTGCGTGTGTTGGCGCTTTAAAAGGACTTTTTCTTTACTCCTGTTCCTTGGAAAAATGCGACCTTCAAGGGATGCTTCGTAAGCTCGTAAATATTAATACTGTAACGTTTAACTAGTTAAAAGCACCAACGCTTTTAGTTGTTTAAATGCTATAAACACAATTAAAGAGAAAACATTTTACTCCAGTAACTGATTATTTGTTC